TCCCCCTTTTAGGAAGAACAATTAATCCCTAGTTCCTTGCTGTACCTAACCATTAAAACAGAAACTGACCATTTTGAGACCAAATACTGCATCCGTTTTTAGGAGACCAAGTTTTCCAGTATTAGACTGTATGCCAAAATTATTATTTTTTGCCATGGATAGTATTACCTTCACCTGGAGGTCATGCTTGACAGTTCAGACAGTATCTCAGGCCAAAGAGATTAACCATCTCACTGCCCAGCCCTGTGCAGGACATGTACCTCGGAACCCAGAGTAGCTCCCTGGAAGCCAATTAAGCCTGATCTGCACTCAAGAGTTGCACCAGTCTAACTTTGGTGGAAGCTGGCATGTATACAGGGCCGTCCTTACCCATACACAAACTATGCAGATGCATAGGGCAACAGGAAATTTGGGGCACCAGCCCCTGCTCCGGCTCTTCCCCAGGGCCCCTGCCTCTTCCGCGCCCCTGCCCAGCCCCGCCTCTTCCTGCCCCTGCCCAGCCCCGCCCCCACTCCCCTAAGGACTGCATCAGGGCCGGGGCTGCACTCACCGGCGGCGGGAGTGCAGTGACCTGGCCCCAGCCGCACAGCTGGTGAGTGCTGGGGGGCGGTTCTCCCCTGCCCCCCAAGCCAGCCCCGCCCCCCCCGTGGAGGCCTAGGGCCAGCCCCCCCGCTCCCTGACGCAGAGGCCTGCCCCCCAACAGGGGGCTGCGTAGGGCCCCAGAATAGCTAGGGATGGCCCTGCATGTATCCACACACATCTCTCTCCAGTCAATATATCCCTGAATCAAATTGGTGTAGTCATTCCTCTTTCATTGCCACTGCAGCTCTACATCAGAGGAGTTAAATTGATGTAATGGCTACATGGACTCCTACTTATAAGTTCTCCCACTGATATCCCACACTGCACTGCTCCATGAAGAACTGTCCTGTCTGGTAACCTCTCTGAATGACACTGGCCAGGCAATGCAGGTGATCCTGAAATCCTACCTGTAGGGTATGTCTACTGCAATCAGAGGGGTGACTGAAGTAAGTGCAGACATACCTGAGCCGGCTTGTACAGCCCGGGCTGCTACCCTGGCTGCTACGGCTACACGGCTATTGTTATTCAAGCTATGTAGATCAAAGCTAGCTCAGGTATGGCTATACATGATGCAGTCACGCCTCTGATTGTAGTGTAGACATACCCACAGTGCACCATATTTATATGGATGCAGCAGGTTGCTGTGTGGAATGGATACATGTTGCAACATGCACTGATGGAAATGCAACAGGGTGAATGCACTCAATTGAAACAGTTGTATCAATATAACTAAGCCAGTATAACTTATACTGGTGTGAATTCTAAGTGTAGACAAGCTCTTGGTCTTCAAGGTATGAGGTCCTGATTCTCAGCTGCGCTGAGACCTTTTTACACTGCTTTGCTGGTGTAAAGGTGCATTTACACCAAAGCTCCTTCACTCTGCAAGAGTGGTATAAATGACCCTGAGCATGAATGAGAATCTAAGTCAAAATGTCTGGCCCCTTACCTTGGGGGAGTCTGCAGATGGACTCTGGCATCCATTCTTTCTGAATTCCTCTAACCTCTTTTCATTCAGTAGAGTTTCCTTGCTGGGCTCAGATTTGGGTAACCGTTTAGATGATTGCCATCTCCGCAGTGGGAAAGAACAACACTTCCAGATGAGAAAGAGTAATAACGGAATAGCTAACAATGAACAGAGCCAGATCCATGGTGACGGGACACTCGGAGACTCTGTAAAAGATAAACAAGCAGAGAAATCCTGTGAGTACAGAAAGGAGAACTCCCCAGGGATTTTAGGCTGCTTCCAGCTGAGGTAAGTCATAGGTCAGGTTATTTGCCCAGGTTCAAATCATCCCTCCCACTGAACAATAAAAATAGGAGGATGGGGGAGAATAGAAAATTGTCAAGATCATTCTGTCAAGGAAAGGTTGAACAAGCCTCTCTTTCATGCCTAATCCTGGGTGGAATTCTCTGGCCTGTGTTATAAAGATGGTCAGACCAAATGATGACAATGGTCCCTTCTGGCCTTGGAATCTAGGAATCTATTGAATGAATAGTGTTCTGCCTTCAAACCCCCTTGAGATCCATACAGGTCCTGGGGAGCTGCTGGGAGCACATCTCCATGGCTATTGTGTGCTTCTGGACCAGTTCCAGAGTCCCTGACACCTTCCTCCTACCCCACAACTTCCCTCTCAGTTACCTCTAGGATCCTCCCACCCACTGAGTCCCACAAGCTAATTCTCGGTTGTGCAAAGAAAATGTCCTTCCTTTCATTTGATGTTAATTTTTCTGTCTTTCCATTTCACTGAATCTCCCCTTGTCCTTCTGCTATGACAAAGGATGACCAGAAGTTCTCAATCCACCTCTATTCCACTCATTATCTTGTGGAACCATAGAAATGTAGGGCTGGAAGGGACCCCGAGAGATCATCTCGTCCATCCCCCCTGTGCTGAGGCAGGACCAAGTAAACCTAGACCACCCCGACAGGTGTTTGTCCAACCTGTTCTTAAAACCCTCCAAGGATGGGAATTCTGCAGTTTCCCTTGGAAGCCGATTCCACAGTTTAACTCTCCTGAGAATTGAGAGTTTTTTTCCTAAAATCTAATCTAAATCTCCCTTGCTGCAGATTAAGCCCATTGCTTCTTGTCCTACCTCCAGTGAACACGGAGAACAATTGATCCCCATCTTGTTTATAACAAGGCTTCATATATGTAAAAGTTATCATGTCTCCTCTCAGCCTTCTCTTCTCTAAACATGTCCAATTCTTTCAACCTTTCCCCATAGGTCATGTTTTCTAAACTTAACATTTTTGTTGCTCTCAACTCTTAATTAAATCATTACAATTTTATTAGAGACCAAGTGGGTGAGGGAATATCTTTTATTGGAGAAAGTTCTGTTGGTGAGTGAGACAAGTTTTCAAGCTTACACGAAGCTTTTCTTCAGGGCTGGCTGCTGTATAAACTTAGAAGATTGTCTCTCTTACCAACAGAAGTTTCTCCAATAAAAGATATTCCCTCACCCACCTGGTCTGTCTAATATCCTAGAACTGACACAGCTACACCACCACTGCATACTACAGTTTTATTCTGCAGACAAACTCTTTGGAGTTTGTGGGAGGCTCATAAGAAGGCACCTAAAATAGAAGAGTCTTGGGGGAAAAGTAGACCCAAGAGTTTTGGACTGAACTGGCCAATTAAAATTGGCAATGCAAAAAAACCTAAAGAGAAAAGAACAAACAAATACTGAAATAATGCCAAACAAACATACAGCATATCAGGTAACCAGTCCTTGCAACAACCATCAAGTGAAAAAACCCCAAGCGACGATAAAGAACAAAAATGCTAAATTTTTCATCAAAAATTTCCAATTAAAAACTTTGGGGGGAGGGGATAGAAGTTTTGGGAAAAAAACAAATGACTTTGTGAACACTTCTGATTTTGAAAAGAGACCATTTCTCTGTGGAAACCAACTCTCTAGATAGATCCTAGCAGTGGGTATGACTCATTCAAATTGTCCCTACTACCCAACTCAGGCTGGTACTACACCATCTGTGAGGAAACATACCCTCCACAATAACTTGCATCTGCGTAGTAAACCTCCCCAGTTGGGGTGTGACATGGCAAGTGTAGACTCCCCCATCCGCCAAGCAAATACTCCTCAGTCTGAGAGATGCATTTCCCTTTGAGAACGCATCTGGATACAGCTGTGTCCGGCCCCTGTAAGCCTCATCTTGTATCTCCAGTTGGTCCTTCCCATTGTAGTAACTATGAACCAGGAGATCTGGTCCCTTGGCTTCTTTCTTCTGCCACGTGATAGTCAGCAGCTGGAGGTTTGAACCAGGTTCAAAGGAGCAGTTCAGGGTGATGTCCTCACCATACTGAGTTATGATGGGCAACTTTGCTGTAGAATCTTAAAGAGAAAGAAGAATTATTCATCCCAGCTAAATTTCAGTTTTGCAAAAACCTACTAACCATGTATACATGCAAACCACATGCATTGGCTGGGGCCAGAATGGGCAGGTTTGGTAACCTTTCGCTGGTATCTACCATCTAGTCCCTAGCATGGAACAATATCTCTCAGAAGTGGGAACTATCTTTGTTTATCTCAAGGGCTGTTGACTCTGTGTCAGCATTGTTAATTATTTTGCTGCTGATCAGAGCACACAATAAAGGAGAGGGACCATAATACTATGAAGATCTCAGTGTTGGAAAGTCTTGCAATTTTTATCATGAGTTTTGCAAAGTTTGGTATTTTTCTGAAGGTCCCAGCTCCTGGAATCATGTTTACACAAGAAACTCAGTTTTCATTTTAAAAAAAATCAGTAAGTTTCTAGCTATTAGAGCTGCAGAAAAAAGCTTGAAAAGTGAAGCGAGTGCAACCTAAATACCCTGAAATTAGAAAGAAAAGGAAAAGAACCCAGAATTTCCCTTTTTATTTGTAAATTGCATGCTTTTGGGGGGGCTGATTCATGCATAAGGCTAAATAGCATCTTAAAGACAGAGCCATCTACAGTGTGGGATCTAAAGGAGCCGCTCTGCCGTTGCAGCTTACTATGGCTAGAGAAGTGGGCAGAGAAGATGCAGTTACAGAAGAGTGTGGCATATTGTTTGCTTTGTGCAGCACCAATAGGGAATTGCACTGTGGCTTTGCAAAGAGGAGAATTACACAGCCACTTGTGCGGCCCTGTAACCCCATTGGCTATGGAGCCTTGATGGTATTCGTCTACAGAGGAGAATGGAAGCACAGCAGATGCCAGAAAAATGCACAGGAAGAGGAGTCGTACTCAGCAGCACTGTGAGGAGTGTTGTCTCAGACCATTCGCCCAGCTCAGAGGTGACGTAGCAGATGTAGGATCCCTCATCCTGGATGCGGACACCCCTGAGTTTCAGGGAGGCATTTCCCTTGGCAAATCCCTCTGGATACAGCTGTGTCCGGCCCCTGTAAGCCTTGTCCTGTCCTTGTAGCTGGTCCATCTCTGCATAGTAGCTGTGAACCAGGAGATCCACCCCCTCAGCATTTTGCATCTTCCAGGTGATGTTCAATCGATGGAGTTTTATCCCATGTATATGGCGGAAGGTGCATCCCAGGATGACATCCTCTGCACACTGAGCTGTGACAGGTGACTGCGCTCCAGTGACCCCTTAAAAAGAAGCAAACGTCAGTGTGAGAGCCTGTCAAGGGCTGTTTCCCCACTCTGACACTTTGAGTGCAGAAGGTGGGGGCCTGCAAAAGACCTTAAAAGTACTTGCCAGTGACTAAAGACTTGCATTAAAGCTCCAAGGTTACAGATTCCCTGGCCTTGGATGGGTATCGCTGCCACCACCCAAATGCAAAAACCAATTTGAGAACCCAGGAAGTCGCACTTGGGAATTCCTTCCCGTGAGGTGCCCTCAAGCTCTTTTAACCCTCCCGCTGAAGAGAACCTGGGAAAAAAATGGCTGCTGCTATCAGCTGAAAATAGATCTTTAATTTCTTAATTATTCTTCGTAGCTGGCTGTGCAGCCTTAGACACGTGCACACAGAACCTCCACCTTCTAGGACACAGGACTCAGATCATGTTCTTAAAAGAGTGATTTTTATTAAGCAAAAAGAAAACAGGTCTGGCAAAACATTGCTTGCTTGCCAGGTGTTCTAGAGCAACTAAAGAAGAAGGTTTAAAAAACACAGAGAATTGCTTCCCTGGGATTCAGCTTGAAAAGTTACAGAACAAGTTACATGTGCTCAGCACAGAGAATCCAACAAATTCAAAATAAAGAAATAAACCTGATCGCGTCTGACTAAACATTCCCTGTTCTACTCACATATCTGTAGTTCCAAGATTTAGTACTTTCCTAGGCATGGATGTCACTGGATTTCCATGCCTGGCCTTTGGGCTTATTTCATGCCCTTTCAGCAGCTCTGCCTCCCAAACACAGGAAAAGAAAGGGCTGCTGCTTCCAATTCAAAATCCCATGCTTTGTTTTCATTGGCTCTCCTGGCCTCCGGCCAACTCACCTCCTGCTTCTCTAAGCATTCCTGGGAGTCTGGGACTCTCTAGGACTCACTCTCTAAGGCAATTAAAAGTTAGGCCTAAAAAGTTAATCACTGACAAAGATTCTAGCTAACTGAATGGCTGGAACATCCAGAAAATGGTGCCCCCCGCCCCTCATTCACCACAGAGCCTTTCAACTTGCGTCCACATTTCCACTCCCTCCCCATTGCATTGACCAGCTGAAAAACCTGATACTGGAGGACATGCACATCCGTAAAAGATGCACCCCATTCCTAGAGACACACAGCCAGTGCAGAGTTACTATTTAATGAGGGCCCTACTTATAGGATGGGGGATTCTCTCCTGGGAAGCAGTGACAAAAAAGATTTGGGGGTCATGGTAGGTAATTAGTTGAACATGAGCTCCCAGTGCAAGGCTGTGGCCAAACGGACTAAGGAGATCCTGGCATGCATCAACAGGGGAATCTCGAGTAGGAGCAGAGAGGTGATTTTACCTCTGGGTTTTGCCCAGGTGCGAGGGCTGCTGGAATCCTGTGTCCAGTTCTGGGGCCCACAATTCAAGAAGGACATTGATAAATTGGAGAAGAATCAGAGAAGAGCTCCGAGAATGCTTAAAGGGTTAGAAAACCTGCCCTAGAGGAGAGACTCCAGGAGCTCCAGCTGTTTAGCTGAACAAAAAGAAGATTATGGGGTGGCTTGATCACAGGCTAAGTACCTAGATGGGGAACAAATATTTGATAATGGGCTCTTCGATCTAGCACGGAAAGGTCTAACAAGATCCAATGGCTAAAAATTGAAGCTAGAAAAATTCAGACTGGAAATAAGATGTAAATGTTTAACAGTGAGAGTAACTGACCATTGGAACAATTTACCAAGACTCAGGGTGGAGTTTCCATTGTCAACAATTTTTAAATCAACATCGGATGTTTTTTCTAAGAGATCTGCTCTAAATGTTGTTTGGGGGAAGTTCTCTGGCCTGGAGGTAAGACTAGATGATCTCAGTGGACCCTTCTGGGCTGGGAATCTATGAATTAATAACAAAAGCATCACAAAATCACAACGTAACATTCCTCTACTAAAACAGCTGAGTGAGTTGCACCTCAGCTCACTGTCCTGGTAACTAGTAATGGCCTTGTCTCCGCTAAAAAATTTATCCTCTAACTCTAGTGGTCTATTTAAAGCATTATAACCCCCAGTAGAGACACAGGCCATGTTTACTCTAGCAGCGCTTTGCCAGTCTAGGCTGTGTCTACACTGCAGGAGCTATAGTGGCATAGATACGGTGTTGTGGTTATGCTGCTATAGGGTGACCAGATCACACCAACAGTAAAATATCGGGACACGTTGGGGTGCCGTCGGCCCTGCCCACAGTCCACCCCCACTCCTCCCACGTTCTGCCCCTACTCTGCCCCAGGTCCCGCCCCCTCCCCGCTCGGCCCCGCCACCGTGCCCCTCCTCACCCCCTGGTCTGCTGCTGGCTTCCTGCGTCCCTCCTCAGTCCCCCACCCACCACTCGCCTCCTCTCACCCCCTCCCACCTGCCACTCACCTCCTCACTCCCCTGCCAGAAACCCCCATGCCCACCCTGAGATTAACCCCCGCTGGCTCACCGCTTCCTTCCTCACCCACCCCCACCCACCTGCCACTCACCTCCTCACCCCCCCTGCCGCTGGCTCGCTGCTCGCATCTTCACCCCTCCTCCCCGCCGCTGGCTTGCTGCTCACGTCTTCACCCCACTCTGCCCACCGGCCGGCCAGCCGCTGGCTTGCCCCACCCCACCACTCGCCTCTTCACCCCTGCCCCCTGCTCACCTACTCACCCCTTCTGCTCACCTGCTTACCTGATTATCGGGACAATTGGCACCCTGATCATACATCGGTCAGGACATGGGACAAAGGATTAAATATCGGGACAATCCCGATTGTATCAGGACAATCCCGATTTTATCGGGACGTCTGGTCACCCTATGCTGCTATAATCCCATAGTATAGATGCAAACTACAGCAATGGAAGGGGTTTTCCCACTGCTGTAGAGCTGGGTATATTGGTTGATCACAGGATGACTATGAGCCATCAATGTGATGTGGCCATGAAAAGGGCTAATGATAAAGTCCTAGGATGCATCAGGCAAGGTATTTCCAGTAGAGACAGGGAAGTGTTAGTACCATTAAACAAGGCACTGGGGAGACCTCATCTGGAATACTGTGTGCAATTCTGGTCTCCCACATTTAAGAAAGATGAATTCAAACTGGAACAGGTGCAGAGAAGGGCTACTAGGATGATCTGAGGAATGGAAAACCTGTCATGAGAAGAGACTCAAAGACTTGTTTAGTCTAACCAATAGAAGGCCGAGGGGAGATCGGATTGCTCTCTCTAAATACATCAGAGGGAAAATACCAGGGAGAGAGAGAAGTTATTTAAATTAAGCATCAATGTGGACCTCAGAACAAATACATATAAACTGGCCATCAACAAGTTGAGGCTTGAAATTAGTTGAAGGTTTCTAACCATCAGAGGAGTGAAGTTCTGGAGCAACCTCCCAAGAGGAACAGTGGGGTGATACCAGTCAGCTCTGTGTTTTTGGGGAACCAGGGTGCAGTATTTAGCCTGTCTGACTCATGAAAGACACCCGCCCAGTCTCTGTTTGAACCAAAACCAATCAAGAAAAGGCTTGCAGAGAGCAGTAAAGGGTGTTGGGAGACATACCTAGACCCCTCCTTCCAAGGGTGACAAGATTAAGACATCTCCATTAGCATACAGAATGAAGAAGAGAGACAACTCCCCTAGCCTCATCTGCGTGAAAGATGGGCCAGGGATTAGCATAGAATGAAGAACAGAGAACTGCACTGAACTCTGGGACCAGAAAAGCAGGGAAGCACTGCATCCTGGGGGATCTCTGCTCCAGATGTTAATGAACACGCACCTGCACACACCCAGCTCAGTAGTTATCAGACCAATTCTAGTAATAAATCTTTGATTGGTATCCAAAATACTGAAGCTGCCTAGTTGCATTGTGAGCTCCCTGGAAGAAAACACCACCCCATAGCCAAGAGTGATCAGCTCCTATTGTCTAGCCTAAAGAAAACCCTTGAGTCATCAGTTTACCCATAAACAAATCTAGTGTTCTCCCTTGAACCACTGTATCTTCTCTACAAAAACCCCTACCTATGCCCAAGTCAGTGTTCTGAGGCATAGACCCAAAACTCTGCAGCAGTTCTACTGGGACTCCATCTCCTGACTGATTGTGCTGGGGGCTCTGCCTGTCTCCATCACTCAGGACCCTGAGCTACCACCATCACCTGGGAACCCCGACCAGTTCAAGCTCTGTGGAGTGGGTGAGATCCCTCTCTCTCTCTCTCTCTGTTTTCTTTTCTACCTCAGGTATTAACATTCAGTACTGTATGTTATGTTTATTTAGGCTCTCCTTGTGTAGTTATCACTATTATTCAATAAATAACTTTTATGGTTCAGCTGGTTGCTTCCCTCCCTCTCTCTCTCTCTGAACTTTACTCTTTTGTGTTTTCAGCTTCCCCCATTCACTCTACAGCAATGCTTCTTTTACCTAAGCTAAAGATCCCTGCAGCGCCCAAAGTACTGTGGGATTTGCTCATCAAGTGGGTTACTGCCAGTACAATTGTAACGTGAAAGTGGGATAGGGACATGTTAAACTTGGGGCACATAAGGGCATGGGGGACAGCTCAAAATGCTGCTCAACCCAGCCTCTTGAGACCAGGGACATATGAGGGGATCAGTTGGACAGTGCTGATTGACTCGGTCTGCTCAGACTTGCTCTGCTAGTGTGTGCGTGTGCGTGTGTGTGTGTTTGTCTGATTCTAGGGCTGGAAGAATCAGCCCTGGGGAACCGAGGTCCTGCAGGATAGCTCCATTGGGAGGGGACTTGCAGCAGGGAGAAGTAGAGCTCCGTATGAAAACACAAGTGACATAAGCATCACATTGATAGAATTACAGAACCACCCCCTCGCCCCCCCAGAAGAGTAACCCTAATTGGATTGCTCTCTCTAAATACATCAGAGGGATAAATACCAGGGAGGGAGAGGAGTTATTTAAATTAACCATCAATGTGGACCTCAGAATAAATACATATAATTGGCCATCAACAAGTTTAGGCTTGAAATTAGTTGAAGGTTTC